CAGCCCCTCAGCTTTGTTACACCTCCCAAACTCTGAATGTGCACATTTCACTCCAAGCCAGAACATGTTCAAATAAACTTGTGCTGCTCTAAATGCAAATTCTGAAAATGCTGCATTACAGAAAGCAGAGTTTAAAATTAGCACAGAACCTGCAGTCAGCTGGGTGGGGGTGATTTAGCAAATGCATCAACTTCTACATTGAATTTTATCAAGTCAGGGAGCCAAAAAATCCCTCCTTGAGCTGCACAGAGCTGCCCTTGGGAGAGGGGCAAGGCAAGGAACTCACCCAAGGAGCTCTGGGTCAGTGGGCAGAATGCAATCCTTTAGTTTGGATGCAATCCTTTATTTTGGATTCAATCCTTTAGTTTGGATTCAATCCTTTATTTTGGATTCAATCCTTTAGTTAGAATTCAATCCTTTATTTTGGATTCAATCCTTTATTTTGGATTCAATCCTTTATTTAGAACCCAATCCTTTATTTCACCCTCCTGCTGCTCAGTATTTTCAGTGTGTTCCTGACTCTGAGCAGCTCCCGGATGAGATTTGAACCCTCAGGTCCTGCAGGAAGGGCTGTGCTGTGTCTGCACTCCCCTCCTGGAGACTTTTCCACATTTTGCTCCAGCACAAATTTCCCTCTGGAAGCTGCACTTGCCCTGCCCCATCCCCTCAGTGCAGCCCAGCCAGGATCCCAGGATCCTCAATGGGTGATTGTTACAAAAATAATCTGTCCCCTGTCCAATGCACAGTTTCAGTGCTACAGTGAAGCAGAACTAATGACAATTAGTTAATTAATTGTTGTCACGTTGGAGAATTTATAGGAAACTGGTGACAAGGCCCTTTGCATTTTTCATGCCCTCAGCATGAAAGATCTGAACTCATTCTCTGGCATGAAGAATTTGGATGGGTTTCTCACAAGAGGAGACAAATGCTGTTATTTCACATTTCCCCTGGTTTGTCCCAGCCTCTGCTCAGGGAATTACTCTGGCTTTACTACTGATGTGACACCATTAGCAAGCAAGCACAGAGAGAGTAAGTGATGAGCAGTAGGAGCAGCTGCAGCTGCAGAATAAATCATCTCTGCTAAATGTGGCTGTCCTGCTGTCTGTCCCTTCCCTCCAGCTGCCATTTCCTGGCAGGACCTGTCTGTAATCTCTTTTTCTACAAAGGCTGTACCCTGTGAGTGAGCAATGAGTGTCCATCCTGCCAGGCCAGCCTCAGTTCTTGGATGTGCTGTGGAGAAAATTCTGGGTGTCCG